AGTCCTGTCAAAATGTCATACCTATATAAGTATGAATAAATATCTGTTTAACTTTAAAGAAATTATTAAAGCAATTTTTTTATCCACCATGTTGATATATTTTTACATCATGTATACATATATTTGCATGCATACATATCATATAAAAAACAAAGCCATAATAATTCATAATCATCTTTTGGATGTCATAGAATTCACCTATAAAAAAAATACACTAGATAAAAATAATTAATTAATTAATTTTTTTTTAATTTAAAAAAAAACCCTATGCTCTGTAAGAAAAAAAAACCTTTTGCGCTGCACTACCTAAGAGAGAGAGAGAGAGAGGGGGAAGGAGGTCCTCTCCTCCTCCCTAGATAAAAAAATCAATTTCTATAAATATTTAAGTCATGTAGAACCAAAACTAAAGTTCCGTAACTTTAATTAGATAATTAAACTAATCTAATTAATTTAATTAGTTCAATGACTTAACAAATTAAGTCATTTACTTGTCTAACAAGTATTGGTCCCGATCAACTTTAGTTGACTATGTCAAGTGTCGAATTAACAGTTTGACCTTTGACTTTGACCAAGCCACAAAATCATTTATTCTCTTTTAAATTCTTGATCCATACCTTTTCAGTGTGCGATATTATTTGTCCTAATTAGCGAGGCCATGGGTAAGAATGATTTCTTCTAAATAGAATGTGAATTGTATCCCTCTATACAATTCTCTCTATTGGCCAAGACTAATTGTAATTAATCTTTACAGGGCTTCCACAAACCATGAGTGACACCTAGCAGTATGTCATGGCTACCCAAGCTAAATAGAATTCATTTAGAGAACCTAGTCAGTTTGTGATTGCAATGCAATTCAGTCATTCTCTAATATAATACTCTATGTCATTTTGTTGGGATATGGTTAACTTGTGTCAAATCCCTAACACAACATTTCTGGTTTATATGATTCACTTGGATGTATTGCAAACATTCTTGTTTCAATTCTCATCCTATACTTTGGGCAAAGATTCGACGAATCATATCTGTAGAGTATTCTCTCTTCTTACTAAGTGTAGAATTCCTTATTGTACATTCACATGCCTCTGTGCATATGCTGAGCATCGTGAGGAACACCTTTAAGTCATATCCTTTTTATACGACTATATAGTGCTCTCAAAGACAAACAACTCATACAACAGACAACTGTGATGTCTCACGTTTGAAAACTAACTTGCATTATCACAACTTAGAATTCTTTGTTTGACACTTGTGAGTAAGACTTCCATACAAGAATTCTTGATTTGATCGCATTTAGTGAACTCCATCCCTATAGATCACCTACACACCTATCTCATTGTCTTTTACACAAATGACTTGAGACTAGTCATCCTCCCAATTGAGCAGACATAGTGTGTACCAGTCTTTGTGGGTCATCATTGTCCAATTGGTAATCTTATGACGAGGAACCTTTTAGGATACGATATTCTTATGCTGCAAAGGTCTCGTGAGTCTAACTTCTTTAGACTACTTTCCATTTATATCCATGGACTTGTTACTTTGTATACATTATGTTTCTTAAAGTAACATTCACGCTCCTTTGATTGTACTTATTATATTATATCCTTAGAATTTTTCATTTTTATATTGGCTTCTAGGGCATATATCTAACAAAGACAACTATGATTTCTCAGGTATGAGGACTAGTTTGCACTATTGCAACTTATGAGTTCTAGTTTGATATCGTGTTCAATGTACTTGTCCCACATCTACACACTTATCTTAGTGTCTCTATACGCAATGACTTGAGACTAATCATTCTCCCAGTTGAGCAGATGTAGTGTGTACCAGTCTTTGCAGATGATCAATGCCCAATTGATGTAATGTCTCCTTATATCCAATATCATTGCATAGCTCTCATATTATTTGATATTCCAAGGACTTGTTGTTTTACTGTTATGATAATAGACCATATTACATGGTTGAAAACAACGATCTTGCCCATTAGTGATGGTGAAATATCCATAAATCAACATCACATGTTTGACTTTATGGCATATTTCTAACACAAGGTGCATTAGATTTTAGTTTATGCACTTATTCTTAGGTTTTAACCTGTAAGCCGTTTAAGGTTCATCATGACAACATTATATAAGCTTACTACTCGTTTGATAATCATTTCACTTTTTAGTTTTCACTTTTCGTTTGATAATGGACAAAAAATTTGTTGGTTTTAATTTTCAGTTAAAAAACGAAACGAAAACTGTTTAAAAGTTGTGTGGTAACTACTTTCAATGTTCAAATTTTTGTTTTGTATTAGTTATTCTTTTAGTGTTATGTGTGCGAGTCTGATAGTCATGGTGGTGTCCAGGGGTAACAAGTGTGTTCGATTGCTTAAGGTGCCAAGTCCCAAATCATAATTTCAATTTTAACTTAGTTTGGTTATAATGAAACTTTGAAGTAACACCTATTAATGTGGAACTTAGAAATGAAATTTTAGCCGCTAAGTGAGAGAGAGAGAGAGAGAGAGAGAGCCTTAGATATGGGGGCTTAGATATGGGGGTTTTCCCCCGAATCCTGTCACATCTTTAGTGTTCTTTGGCTTTTGGTGGACTTATGTCGATCTACTCTTCTTGGCAGATCTATTGTCTCTGATCTAGGTTCGCTTTGGTTGTGCCTCATGTTGCGAGGCTACTCTTTGAGGCGTTGCGGCTTTCTCAAGTAGATCCACTGTTCATTGGTGCACTGAGGTCATGGAGTAACTATGTGGCGCTCTCTATGTCATGTCCTGAAGAAAGATTAGCGGCAGTTGGTTTTCCTTTTGTGGGCGTTGTTTTAGTTTTTTATTTTGGTTTAGTTTGTTCAATAATGTCCAGAAACTCTACGAGTTTTCTGTGTTTTTTTCTCTTATGATTTCAGATTATTAGTTGAGTTTCTTAGGTGTTCTTAGTCTCTCTAAGAGAGTCATACCGGCTAGCAGCTAGTTTTTGTCCTTAATGTCATTGGACTAGATTCGGGTAAATATTCTCCCATATCCTTTTAGCTTTTTAGCTTGCTCAGGTCATTGGGTAAGTTTTACCTACATCTGTCACGTGCCTTTACAATTTGTGTCCTTTGTACTGTTGTTCTTGTTGATCTAATAAAATTCTTTCTTCTTTTTATCAAAAAAAAGGAATGAAATTTTTAATGGGGTAAAATTGAATTCATAGAATGAAAAGCGAATGTTTCAAAGAGTCTGTAGCATCTTTTAGTTGAATTTTTCGGAGTTATGATGAATTTTTTGTGAATTTTAGGCCGTGAGGCATTGCGAAAACCCAAATCCTCCTCAGTCAACACCAATCACCATCTTTGCTGTAGTTGGACTTGGAACCACGCCTATGCATTTACCCTTAGTAACCCCCAGCATCCTGCCTTGAGATTCGTGCTTTTTCTTCTGATCAATACCTGGCACTCGAGCAAAACAGAGAAGAAAGCAAGAAACGCCATCAAAGGCTTTGATCAAATCCAGCTTCAGCCTTCCTCGGTAATTGCGGTTTTTTATTTGCGGGAAACATCTAGTTTAGGTAATTGTTTTTCATTTTTGTTTCTGGGTTTTTGTGAAGATTATCAGATTGGTGTCGATTTATAGTTTTGAGCATTGCAAAGTTGTAAACATGGGCTTTCTGTTTTCCCCATTTGTTCTTATTGCCTTACCACAATATGTAGGAAGTAGGATACAATGGAGGGTGGTGATGGTGGACATCAATTTCTAGACAGTGATGGGGGTTCAGATGATGAAACTTTTGAGAGCTGTCATGAACATAATTACTCTGTGGAAGATGACATACCACTGCAGCATTGCAATTTTGTAAATGATGGTCTGATTTCAATGGAACCATCCGCTGGGATGAGTTTTCAGTCATTGGATGATGCAAGAGATTTCTATTATGAATATGCGAAGCGTACAGGTTTCTCCATTCGAACAAATCGAATCCGACACTCGTTAAAGAACATGGCTATAATAGGCCGGGACTTTGTTTGTTCAAGAGAAGGTTTTCGTGCCGCAAAGCATACACTTCGAAAAGACAGGGTTCTTCCTCCACGCCCAATCACAAGAGAAGGGTGCAAAGCCATGATAAGGTTGGCAGCAAGGGATGAGGGAAAATGGATAGTTACCAAGTTCATAAGAGAGCACAACCACAAACTAATGGCTCATTCTAAATTTCCTGGGGAGCTGCCAATCGTCAATATACTCAGCGAGGTATGTCTGAGATTTAACTGAACAAATAGTTTTAGGGATTCGTTTGATGTAACTTTTGTTTTGCTATGAATTTCAATGCAACTTAGTATATTAATTTTCAATTCTGGAATTGTTTACGAAAGGATTCGTTTGAAGCTGTCCTGTTTTTCAGGCAGGAGTATGCTAGGTTGAATTCACCTTTAAAATAATTCATGTGACAAAAACTGCACTATACAACTATTACTGCTTCAACACACTTATCATATCTACCTTGTTCTTCAGTTGCTAACTTGCTATCTTCACTTAGCATGGATGATCTTGCTAGTTTAATTGATTGACTTTTCTCAAGCACAAAGCTCATCAGTTCTCTGGAAGTTATTGATGCATTCTCTAACTTTAGCTTTCAACAGTTGGCTTTTATGTCTCTTACCATTTATACTGTAAGGCATTGTAACCTGTACATAACATTTAACATGTGGTTGACAGTGATATGATGTGCCTTATTATGTACTCTAAACTTGCACTGTAGCCAATTCACTAGATGTCCACTGGGTCTTCACAGATTCTACTTTAAAGTCTGTTAAAAATAGAAGAAAAGAAAAAAGCTGATATTTTGCTTAGGATAAAGGACTGCAACTCCAAGTAACATGTGGTCCGATGAACTGAATCCCAATATACACAAAGAATAATTTCATTTAAGAATACAGAGCTCAGTGATGATATGACTGCAGGTGCAAGTTGCTAAGTAAACAGTTACACCTTACTCAGTGCAGTGCTTGGTCGTGTATGTGTGAATATAGGTTTGACTATTAGGGTTAATATGTTTAATATGAAAACAAGTCTAATTACCAAAGAGAAGATTTAGGTGGACAGTTGAGTTCGAAGCACTTATAATGGTACTTGCAAATGGCAAGTATCCTTCTATCCATCCATTTTGATGCCGTACCTTGAACATGATTAGGAAAAGGAAGCTTGTCAATCAATGAATTAATTTGTTTTTTTCATTATCAATCATCTGTAGAAGCTTGGTGTGTTGAGCTAGTTTGTGGGTGCAAATAGAAGCTACTCATCTAAGTCAATTATTCAGGGAATCATTTCGAAACTGTCCTTGTGGTCTTGTATTGCTCTTTGTTCGGTCATTTAAGATATGGTTTTCATTATTTTTATTAGGTCATGTTTGGGTTGGTCGACAAGGTAAATTGGTTTGAAGATATAGCTTAGGGTGATTGCAGGTCTGGGAATTTAGGTAGGGTATAGTTTATATACTGGATGAACATTACGATAAGAAAGAATATACAAGTTACGCTAATAATTGCACGCCGTTTTTATGTAAGCTCATTAACTTGTGGTTCCAATGAGCTTCGTCATAATACAATATATTTTGCTCAATTAGTGTTATTCTAAGATAGTTCTCTAATTTTCTTTAACCCTGTTAGTAGCCTCTAATTTTGAATTGTACAACATATTTGCAGGTAGAGAAGGATAAAAAAATTCAGGATCTATATGATGAGCTCCGGTGTGAAAGAGAGCGATCTGCAGCATTCCAACAACAGTTATGCCTGATTCTCAAGGACCTTGAGGAACATGCTGAATATATCTCTGTAAGAGTTGAAGACATTGTTAAGAGCATGAAAGAAATTGAACTTCGTGACCTATAGCTTTGAAGTCAAGGGAATGGTGCCATATAATTGAATTTTGACCGATTTTGAAAATTTGAGTAACTGGCTCTGGTTAAAGCTAAACTCCTGTGTTGGCTTAACCAGTTTTGCTGTTGGAAAATAGCATGTTGTCAAGAAAGGCATGCTGGTGAGTGGTGACTTCTTGCTGCTTTTCAAGAAGATGATGTAATGTATTCTAGTTCATTATCTTTTCTTATTTTATGGAAAAATGGCTTCATTTTGGTTAGGTGTAGTAACAACATTGCCTGAAATTTTAAAGATGATATAGTTAGATTCTTCTCTCAGACTCTGCAGCTTTCTTGATATGAGTTGGCCAATTTCTGCAAAATCTTTCCAGTGTTATTCTAAGATAGTTCTCTAATTTTCTTTAACCCTGTTAGTAGCCTCTAATTTTGAATTGTACAACATATTTGCAGGTAGAGAAGGATAAAAAAATTCAGGATCTATATGATGAGCTCCGGTGTGAAAGAGAGCGATCTGCAGCATTCCAACAACAGTTATGCCTGATTCTCAAGGACCTTGAGGAACATGCTGAATATATCTCTGTAAGAGTTGAAGACATTGTTAAGAGCATGAAAGAAATTGAACTTCGTGACCTATAGCTTTGAAGTCAAGGGAATGGTGCCATATAATTGAATTTTGACCGATTTTGAAAATTTGAGTAACTGGCTCTGGTTAAAGCTAAACTCCTGTGTTGGCTTAACCAGTTTTGCTGTTGGAAAATAGCATGTTGTCAAGAAAGGCATGCTGGTGAGTGGTGACTTCTTGCTGCTTTTCAAGAAGATGATGTAATGTATTCTAGTTCATTATCTTTTCTTATTTTATGGAAAAATGGCTTCATTTTGGTTAGGTGTAGTAACAACATTGCCTGAAATTTTAAAGATGATATAGTTAGATTCTTCTCTCAGACTCTGCAGCTTTCTTGATATGAGTTGGCCAATTTCTGCAAAATCTTTCTATGATTAGATGTTTTGTTTGTCATAATGTGATTGTTTTAGAAGGCATTACTGTCTCAATGGTTCTATTTGCTTTATTTGCAATGTTACTTTGGCTAGACCGAATTAAATGTGGACTAATTGCAGGAATGAACTGGCTAAAGAAATCTGCATGAGGATGTGTTCCCCTGCTAATATCGACCTTGAAGGATGCCTAAGGTTAGAAACTTTTTTTTCATATGATTCCTTGATCTCTAATACAACTAGCTCTTCCCTGCAAACCCAGTTGTGTTGGATTTTATTCCACAAGTTTACCATTTTAATGTAAAGGATGATAAGCACACTGTAAAGCGAGTTCCACAAGTTTACCATATTCAGTGTGCCTATTTTAGTGCTAACCTTGAGCCTGGAAGGTGGCTTGTGTTCCGCTTCGACACTAAGTCGTCTTTGTCCAAGTTTGAACCGCAGACGACTCTCCAGTAGTTCCATTCCTTCTTACTATACTTCTGGGTCAACCCAACCCGAACAGGAAGAAGAGGATCAGCCAAACAGCAGGCAGCTCAACTTTGTACATTTTCTTAGGCAAACCAATCCGTCATTTTTCGATGAAAGGCCAAAATTTGTGTTTTGTTTCATTACATTGCACAGTTGTACCTTTTGGCCCTAAAGGATGACAAGCATATGCTGCAATTCTAGCTCTAAGAGAGAGACTGGCATTCAGTGTGTCTCCTTTTATACGTTACTTTTAGCAGGACGTACATGTGCACCGAGTTTATCCAAGTTATAATATTTGTACATCTAAATTCTGTATTCTGAATGGTCAATCCTAGACTCGTGCTCATTTTAGTGGATTTGTAACAACACGTGACATGCCGTGGGGATTTATTGTGAAATACAATTATGTCTCTGTTTTTGCAAGGAATGTGATGAACCAGCGAAGCAACAACATGTTCTCCTAATTCACCATATTTCAGATAGGAGTGATAAATATTTTCTTAAAAGAAATTAAAATTAAAATAAAGAAGCTCATGATGACAGGTTTTCGATGAAAATATAAATTTCATGCTATTTCAAGACGATATAATTCCAATTTATTGAATGAAAATATAAATATAAGATAATGTTATTTACAAAAATATCATCTGTTTAAAACAGAAATTTCATATCTCGGGGATGGGGAATCCCCGATATGAATATTGCGGGTATGAAGGTGGGGATGGGGGAAAAGAGCTTAACGGGGATGGGGATGGGAATGGCATACCCACCCCCGATTCGACCCATTGCCATCCCTAATCCTGGGTGCCATGCGGGGAGGGGAATCCACCACCACTGTGGTGGGAACCCATTGCCATTTATTGATGGGGGGAACTTTGAATAAATCCTTCTTTTCTTTTAGATAATTGCGAATTCATGAGTTAATTTCACCATTTATTGATAGTGTTTTTTTTAGGGGTTACATTGGAGGAAAGAAATCCCACTGGGGTTTGATACTGGGTGCCATGCGGGGGAGGGGAATCCACCACACCTTTGGCATTTATTGATAGTTTATGATTGAGAAAAAATGGGGAATAATTATGTATTGTGATTTTCTTCTTTTCTTTCTTTTATTTTGTAAAATTGGATGAACTACATGAGTATATGGTTCTTTTCTTCTTCTTTTATTTATTTATTTATACCAAAGTTAGAAAGGGGAAGAGGTTTTCTCACACACAGATTCAAACCTGAAACCACTCGCTCCTTTTTTTTTTCTCTTCTTTCTTCTTTTCATACTCTGTCATTGTTCCTTACATGCTCATGCTTGAAACAAAGTAATTTATCATGACCAGCATTATGTTGGGGGGACAAAACTTCAATTAAAAACAAATTTTCTTGTCACAAGTTTGATTTGATTTAGAGAGATAGTACAATCAACCTTAACAAGCAATTTGGGGATAAAAAGCTTAATTATGAAAGATTCGATTGAAAATCAGGGAAATGATAATACTTTATAATTAACTTTATTGTTTTGTTTTTGAAATTGCAGATTTAAGTGAAAAATGGCAGGTAGGGTTGCTCATCCCACCCTGAAAGGACCAAGCGTGATCAGGGAGATGTGTTTTGGTCTTGTGGCTGCTTTTGCTGCTGGGAGCTTTTGGAAAATGTATCACTGGGATTTGCAGAAGAAGACCAGGTCATTTTATGAATTGCTGGAGAAAGATGAAGTCAGTGTTGTTGCAGATGAATAGATGCAGCTTACTTTTAGTTTTCTGTCATATGATTTTATTAAAGAATTTAACAGCTTGGTTCACTTGACCTTCAACTTAAGAGCTTAATTAGTTTGGGATTTGCATTAATAATAAGTTTCTTGTACAGTTGTACTTGTGTGGACTACTTGTACGGTATTCGTCAAATAAAAATTTATTTGTCTTCTTGATTTTTGCTTCCATTTACTTCTGTGGTTGCTCAAGCTGGGATGTCATCTGTTTGTTTTGTAATTTGTGTTTTCACATGTTTAATTTGCCATTTTACACTCAAAATTGTGGTCGTGTTCTCCGCTCGCAATCGTTTTTAACAAAGAGTTGAAAACAAATTTGACGGCAGCAGGGACTTAATTGATGCATGACATCCGAGCCTGAGAACATAGAGCGATTTCGAAATTTGAGGACCAAATTGATAGTCTGTAACAGTTCAGAGACCATTGCTGATAAAAATCTATTAAAAGTTGATCAAACTATAATTGAATAAGTTTTAGCTATGACAACACAAGGCTAACCCCACCTCAGTCCCAACATGCTCTCCCAAAATGAGCATCTTTGCTGCTTTGAAGGAGTGAAAGAAGAGGGCATGATGCTGAAAAGGGTTCAAAGATCTCTTCACATGCATGTTTGAAGTTCCTGGATTTATTGTATTCATCATGGATAAGCAAAAATTGGCTTGTCCATGTTTGGATTTTCGTCTTCTTTCTCCAGATAATATGCATGTTTGAATACCTAAATGCCACACCAACTAGCTATTAGTCTCTCACTGTTTCTCTTCTACAATGTTAGAAGAGGTTCAAAGTTCAAACCGTAATATAAAATATAAAAAGACTACCTAAATCCAAAAATGGTAAAATTGGCAATTACGAGCAGCTGAGACAATCCACCAAACCAAATCCATCGATTTCTCATGAAGAAAAAAAGAAAAAGTTCAATGTTCTGTAAGAGAGAAATTATAAGTCCATGAGGGTTGTGACAGTGAAATAATCAGCCTATATGGTGATCCCTAATCCTTGTGTAATGGTGGGAGTCCCATTAAACAAACTAAGCAACAGACACAAACTAATCACAAGCTTCAAGCATACGTCCTAAAATCCCAATCTTGACGAGAACTTCAAAAATAGCCATAAACAAAGCATTTATCAGCAAATCAGCCGATTTTTAGGCCAATAATATAACAATAAGAACAAGGGTGGATCATATGAAAGACAAGAACAAAGGTAAACCATTAGGTGGAGGGAATAATTAGGAACCATCCTAACCCTAAACATAAGAGTCCCAATTCAACAAACTCTAAAAAAGATTGTCTCCATTTATCATTTAACTCATTGTCACTAATCTATGGGGAGAGAAAAACTAAAATAAAATAAAATAAAATAAACTAAAAAGCAAAACAAAAGAACAGAACTCATCTCATTCCAATACCACAGTAGCGCCCAACTCCTTAAGCTTGTCAACAATGGGCCCTGCCTCCTCTTTAGTCAGGCCCTTTTTCACCACAACAGGTACCTTCTCTACCAACTCTTTAGCCTCCTTCAGTCCCAAGTCAGTGAAAGTCCTAACCTCCTTTATGATCTTGATCTTTGCCGTTGCATCAAACTTCTCAATCTTTATATCAAATGCAGTCTTCTCAACGGCCTTGGCAGCTGTGGAGGCAGGCCCAGATTCAGAAGATGTCGGGCCAATTCCAGAGATTGCCGGGCCATACCGATTGAGGCCCATTTTCAGCCTGAAGAGGATGGAGTAATCATGCCTCTCGATCTTTGTGAGGTTGAGGAGCTCGTCAGCGATGCGCTCAAGCTTCTGAGTCTGAGTCTCATTTGCTGTAGTGGCAGTGCTGAAAGGGCGCGAAAGAGCAGTAGCAAATCTTGATAGGGACCTGCAGAGAACTTTTGTGGTTACGTTGGACATTTCAGGAACCTTTGATATTATTTCAAGGGTTTTGGATAGTTTAAAAGGTTGCAGTTAAACTCTCAAAGTCAAATATGACAAAAAGAAAGAAAAAAAAACTCTAAATGTCTAGTAGTTTGGTCTTAGTACTGAATTTAAGAAGAGTGGGTTGATTATTGTTACTGTGCAAAATCTGAATATGGTATATACAATTATACATACATATATCTATATATACATATATTAGAGGAATAATGTTCTGCTGCCAGACGTATATTTCAAGACAGATGCATATGACATTCTGGAAATATAACATATTTCATCATTAGAATATATATTATCATAATATGTATATACATCCATACATATTCTAGTGGTATTCTAGTGGGTGGCATCACATTTTTTACACAAATTTTCAGCCATTTGATGAATACATGATGAGACTGTATCCTAAGTTTCATAGTTCCTGGTGCACAAGATTATGTTAAGCACAAAGGATAACACCTATATACTGCGATTAACCACAAAAGAACATTTCCCAAACACAGAAAATCCTGAGGCTCAAAGCAAATTCCAATACCCCAAAACCCAAATATTCAACAGGAAAGAAATGAAAACAGTAAACAGTAAACAGCAAAAAGGACATACTTCGATCTCGCAAACTTACCCTGATCCTTGTTGAGTTGCAGTCCTAGCAGGTGAGCCTATTACAACCTGTCATGTATGCCAATATGAGAATTAAAAGGAAAAAGAAAAGAGTAACAGATATTACCAAGCACAGTCCCTTTTGAAGAAAGTAGAAAATGGTGTGGTGACTATGAAAAACTTGTGGGTTCATGGAAAAAGAACAAGTTCAGGCCCCCAGATTTGTTATTTTCACACAGATATAACAATTTGCACAAATGCCCCGAGTGGATTGGCATACCAAATACTGTTTCCCTAACACACAAAAGATTACTCCATCAAAACCAAGGGATTGTATGCCCCATTGAAGAGTAGGCCAAAATATAAGGTGATCAAATTAAATTTTGGAAAGAAAAAGATGATGATAGTACCTCACTGTGACAATGTTCTTCTGGAATGCTAGGGACAATCCCGACCTCACCAGGTTTGACCTCGACATATGCGTCCACCAGGAATGGTTTTGACCCTTGGACAATAGTGGTTCGAGAAACACAAGCACGGCTGGAGAAGCGTTGTAGAGAGCTAGCCATCGGCAATTAACAAATCGACTGGATAGCCAAAGTTGCACCCTGTTGAATGCAAAATCATCATTAGATGCGGGAATGAAAATAAATGTATGACAGTCTCGTTTCATAAATAATCGAAAGATTTAACGACACAGTTTCGGAGGAGAGAACAGTACCTGATAGACTACGTCGCTGCTACAGAAAAGTAGCTGACCGCCGACAGCAGACGAGCAATCAAGGGCACATGAGGGAGAGTGCTATAGCTGATGAGCCCCCGTTTGATTCCTGCTCTCTTGGCATGAGGGGAAGGAAGATATCGGGTTCGGAGAGGATTTTTTTGACGAATGGATTCCAAGAGGTGGGATGGGTGATAAATGGATACGCGTAAAAAGAGCAGTTCCAGCGGACAGTCCAGCCCAAGCAAAAGGCCCCTGCTCTCCCAAAATCAGCCCTTGCCCTTTGCCATGACAAATGAGTGGAACACGGGTAAGGCCAAGTCCAGCGGGAGCACAAAACCGGGCAAAAGGCAGCCCAGTCAAGCCAAACAGGCCTCCAGCGCGCAGCCTTAAGCCCGGGCAAGTGGTGGGTCCCACCAATCTGGGCAAGCCCACGGGCAGATCTTGCCTGGGCTGCAGCCCGAAAGCGCTGATGTCACGCTGACGTCAGTGAGCAAAAAAATTCAAAAAAAATTCAAAAAAAATCCAAAAAAATTCAATTTTTTTTTATAAAAAAAATACCAACAAATTATGGATGTTTTCCCTATAAATACATAACAATTTTATTCACTTTCTAAATTGTTTATATTTTGTTGCATAATCTTTTTTTTTTTCTTGCCCTTGCCCCAGCTTTCATGGGTGGAACCAACTAAGACAAGGCTGCCACTATTCACGTGAATAGTGCAGCCCTTGCCTTGCCTTGCCCTAGCCTTCATGGGTGGACTTGCTCTAAGGCCCGAGGCAAGATAGCCTGTACTGTTGTCTAAGGGCGCTGACGTCAACGAAAAAAATTTAAAAAATCGAAAAAAATTCTGAAAATTACCAAAAAAATTCAGAATTTTTTATATACATACTTAGCAAATTTTTATTTATTAATCTCATATATATATAACTAATCTCATATGAATAATAATTGTCCTTGAGTTGCCATGGATAATAGGTGGAAAAGTACCCAAAAAAAAATGGTGGGTGGGTGTCTCAATATAATAAAATTAATTTTTTTTAAAATAAGACTTTAATATGAGAGATGAAAAACAAGTATCTTGGTGTCGCCACACTTAATGACTTGAGACCTCGTCATTCTCTATATATAAAGAAGATACTGTGTGTACTGGTCTTGACGGAATATCAAAGCCCAATTGATATTCCTATGATCAAGAACATATTTAGGATCAGGGATCATAATAAGTCTCGATGTACATAATATAATTACATAGTTCTCATGTCCACTTTCATATTCCTAGAACTATAGTTGTTTTATTGTTATGACAATTGACCAAGGTTGAAAATAACTAGTCTTGTCCATGAATAACTTAATAAGTGTTTGTACCTAATAAATCACGGCCATGAACTGGCCGAAGGAGCTCCTTTTCTCGGCCCTAGTACTTACTCGTGGAACTAAAACGCGGCGTTTCGCCGAGATACTAGGCCTTCCTGAAGACAGAAGAAAAGTTGCTAAGGCACGATCATCTCGCCCTCGATTATAGGCCGAGGCCGAGGCCGAGCAAAATTATGGCCAAAGGCATTAAAGTCAGATCATTAAGTGGCAGCAGGGTCCCACGCTTCATTTAATGAAGTAGTGCCTCTGTTTATTGCAGCAAACCCACTGGCCAAGAATAAGAATTTAATGCACGGGGGAAGGTGGGAAGTGACTGAAGTCAGGGTTTGGCGACAGAAAGCAGAGTGATTAGACGTGGACATTCTCACAAGAATTCTTACAGCTTGAGAGATTGGGTGACTAACTATCAGAGCAATAAATGCGTCTCCACGGCCAGTTGCGCAAAACCCATGATCAGGGTGGCGGCCGAGATTCACCAGGATTTATGGGGTCATGCCACCCATACTTCACGATCCCAAATGTCGATTGGACTACCCACT